TTTTTTTTCAATTATGCTATGTTGAAGGCTACAACATCGTTGGTGACGGCACCCCTCAAGCATTCATTCCAATTCTCACCGCATCAACTGAAGAGGAACTTCCTCTAACCAGGTATAATTCTTGTTCGTTGTCAAAATCGTTCTTCTTATTACCATTATTTTCACCTTTATGATATGAAAATCCATGAAAATTGTGGTTTTATTACTTTTTTATGTATTATGAAGGTCTAGCGCCTAGAGGAGGTGTCCCGTCAGGATTTCGTTCTCTAGTTTTTCACCTTTTCGGAACCTTCTCCCCATGACGAACCCATATTTGGGCTTTTCAGCACATGAAAATGGCGAGAATGAGCTTTTCTCGAGGCATTGCAGCTCTGCATTCAGTGGAAAATACGTGTAAGTGGGCGGAGTCCGAAACGAGGGAGGTGGGCGCGAAAGACTTCCGGCGTACACACTGAATGCTGATCATTGGAAACTTTGAGAAAGGCTCTTTTTGCCATTTTATGCGCGGAAAAGCCCAGATATGGATTCCTCATGGCGAAAGGACCCCGAAAAGCTGAAAAAGTTGAAAAAGAAATTCTGCCGGAAAGGTGCTTTTGAGATGTCAGTTGAATGATTTTTTTGTCAGGAAGCGATTCCGGAACGCAAACTATGTGGACGAAGTTTATCCTTTCATTTGGTCGAACTTCTCCTCCGCTGGCTATGTGACTCTGTACGGGGAGGATGCATTTGCTATAGGTAAGCACACTAAAATGTTATGCATTCCGTGTGACGACGCTTGTATTTCAATTTCTCCTGCCTTTGCATGATAAAACAGCAGTCAAATGGATGAAAAACTGCTTGCGTTTTCATCCACCGTTTGATTGATTCCATTCTTGTTGAGTGGTATTTCGTAATAATGTGAGTGGAAAAATTCTGATTTTATTTGAGTGTTTAGGAACCTTCACTTATCGATTGAAGGGTTTCCGTAACCAGCCCACTGATCATTATCTCCGGACAATTTTCAAGGATTACGAGAAGAAAGGAGGAAACTGCCTTGGTTCGGAACCTCTTCACAAGGTTCGTTCGCTTCTTAGAGTATTGCTCAAGTTTTTGTTTATCGCTTGACTTTGTCGGTATTTTAGATTTTGTTTCATTACTTTTGAAGATGTAGTGCGTTTAGACATGGTTCCGTTATTCGCGAGAATTTATGCAAGTTTACAAAGATATTCCACGTTTTTTACTGATGCATCAAGGATTGCTCTCGCATGATGATATAAATTTGGTGGAAGT